AAGCAGACTAATGAAAAAATATGTCTGTAATCCTGCTTTGTTTTTATTCTGTTTCCATACCTTACTGATTTAGTGCTTATGCTGATAAAAATGGGGGAAAAACTACTTGTGTCCCACTTGTCTTAGCTGTCTTCTGTCACTATTTTATGCTTTACTTAGACTTTAAAGAGTGCATATAATTTCATTTTAAAATAAGTAAAAAAGACCTAAATGAGTAAAAAAAGAGTATAAATCATGTTCAATATTTGTGTGACAAACAGACTTTAAAATGCAACTGCGCATAGGTTAATGCAACATCTAATCAAATTGCTGAGATCACTTTAGGTGGCCTTAAATCACTTAATGATGGATACAATGAAGTCATAATGTAAATAACCATATAAAGCAAATAGCTCATGACAGACAAAGATTTACTGGCAGTAGACATAGTTGAAATGCAGTTATTTTTGTAACAACTTCATCACATTTATCAAATTTGGTTTGCACTTGAATTTTAATTTTACATTTGCTAATGTCTTTCAGGAACTTTTTGCAAATTTTTTCTTTGTGCAGATATAGCCTTATAATTCTAAGATAACACCATGTCAAACAAACAAACAACTGCCACATATATATATTAATTAAACTCTCTCTGAGCCAGGCTGTAAAATTTATTTCAGCTCTAGCCCAAACGACAAGGTTATAACTGCTATAACTTGCTAGTCACCAATATTAGCTTAAGAAATTAGCCTAACGGCTAGTAGAATTTTCCTTTACTCATAGCTTAACAATTTACATATTATTTATGCTTGTTTTACCTGGTCTGTGCTTGTAAAATATTCACCGTGCCCGTTAATAATAATTTGATTACTATTTCTTATTTCATTGCCTCTTTGGGATTTTTGGATAATGTATAATCATTTTTTAAATTTCAATAAATGCATGATGTTTCCTAAGTCAGTCAGTAATCAAGCGTCATCTCAATTATGATCAAAATAATTGTGATTATGATTTTTGACATACTTGAGCAGCCCTAGACAGCTACACTGCCGCTGTACTACTGTATAGCTGTATTCCGTGGAGAGTAATCCACTGTTACTAAGCATCTCTTTCGTTGTCAACTTCCGTTGTGGTTCACTTCTGTTGTGGCCTTTTGTATTTGTGTTGTGGCTTTTTGTATTTGTGTTGTGGCCTTTTGTATTTGTGTACATTTGGTTAGCTGTGGTATTGTCGCTGCGTGTAAAGTTTAGAATCAGTAGGCAAGAGGCTCAGGAGTGCGCATGCAGAAAATCAGACCCGATTTTCTTCACATAGGGCACAGCATAGTGGCTGTTCCAAGGGACTGAGAAAGCAGGCATTCATTTTTCATTGGATCATTTTTATGTGAGGTTACAACCCTTCACAAATAGGCAATAAAAAAGTGATTAATTTGTAAGTTATTTCATAAAAAAACTACATACACCCTTTAATGGATAATTGTGGTATTCTTAAACCAGGGCCCCATTTTTATAAAATTTTGGTGTCAAAATGACTAGTAGCTAGGGCTGTACGCTAACCTATTTCCCAAGCATCACAAATAAAGTACCAGTGAAAAATATAGTAACTCAGAGTTTATTGATGAACAATTTATTATATGCATATTTATACTACATTTGTGTGCTTCTTCTCCCGTGTGCAATGTGTATGATGTGAAGACCAGTAGAGGACTATGGAAGTCAAGATCCTAGTATCTGGATACTCAGCATTGGACCTTAAAATATCTCATATATTTTAATTTGACACATTGTAACCAGCTTTTAACACTGATCACCAATCACAAACACTAATCACAGAAAACTCTACTGTGCATTGTGGCTTGTGGCACACAGGACTTTTTTAAACAGGGACGGATACCCACGCCACACTTAATGAGCTTTATGCAAAAAAAAAAAAACCCTCTTAGGGTAACATTCGGTTGAAAGGCTGTACGGCTTGTGGAGGCTGCACATCTGAAAATGTAATGGTTCTAAATGACTTGTAAAGGTTTTCTGACGTCAAAATGATCCACACGACAACTTTAAATCAAATTCACATCAGTTTCTCTGCTTCCCATCAACAACATGACTGGATGATACATGGCCTTGAGCATTGTTCTTTCTAGAAAAAAAGCCATGTAATGTGGATAAATAACAGAGTGACAATTTGCTCTAATCATTTTCCCTTTGGCCATGGGGGATGGTAACTATGAGACCTCTCGACCAAATATTTGCAGTGAAAGGCCTGTCGTTGTCCATTAGGGTCTCTCTCTCTCTCTTTTCCTTTCTGTTTTCTGGGTGCATTAACCTCCTCTTCCAAACGCCCAGGAACAAAGGAAGGACTGTACTTGTGTATGAGCAAGTGTGGGCATTCAGTGCTCCGGCACTCCCACTACTGTCCACTACCTGCATCCCTCAACAAACACTTATCCACATCACAACACAAACACACACCTGCAAATAAAAACACTTGAAATGTTTTAAAGCAATAATCCTCCCACTTGCATACAGCACACACAAAAAACACACGTATACACACATCTGTGAGAGCGCTGTCTGACAAATGTGTAATGTGCTCAGTGTTAAAAACCTCCTACGTAACAAACAAACAGCATGTTCAGACAGCCCTGTGTCACTACAGCCACTTAGGCCCCCCTCCCCTCACAAACACACACACACACTGTTACACACAGTGCATACAGTATGGTTATACTCAAGTTATACTGGAGCAGAACATCCCTTTTTACAGTGGCCCTCATGGTGCCACTGTTGGCAAAGAGCAAGGTAAAGAGTCTCATTCTATCTGCAGCCAACCACTGATATCAAGATGCAGACATTCATACAGTAAAGTGATAAAGCTTACACCATACACTGATCATTAATGAATGATGTGTGACTTTTAATGCCATTTTCTAAATATAGGCACAGAATTCATACTAAATTGTGCTGATATGCAACCCAAATCTTCACAGCTGCAGAATTGACGATTCTATGTTCTGTACTTGATCATCCTACTAGTTTTCACTGGATGTGACGAAGAGGGAATTATTATTATTGAATTATGTTTTCATAACTCCAGAACAACATGACAAACTACTTAAACTAGGGGTGAGTTCAATCTCAAAACGGTTTGCAACGTTTCCGGATTGAACGACATGTTTCCTTGCAATGTTATGCAACGTTCTGTAATGGGTTTCGAGGTACGTTTTCTTCTGTTTGGTGGGCGTGTCACAGGTGTTACCCAATCAGCCGCGACAAGTTGTAAACATAACGGTGTTAAAAAGGCAGGGTAATGCAGTGCGCTTGCTTACACAACAGGGTGTTCGAGGCACCGCTGTTTCCGCTGAAAATGTTTTGCTACGTTTTGTCGGCGCTGAACTCGCCAAGCAACAGTTCAGGAGAGGTTCGGCTGCCATGTTTTCCCAGTCCAGAAATTTGAAAATTACAGCCCAGTGTGTTCAAGCAATCAGGTATGGGAGGAGCACATTATTCATGTCTGAATAAAAGAGATTTGTTATCAATCTATTGTACAAAAGGCGAGAAAAGTGTCAGTCCTACGCTAATTTATTCATGACATGTCTATTAAGCCTTGCCAGATCAGTCAAATAGAAACTGTAGCCATTCATTCAGTAGTGGTACAGTGAATTAAACGTGAAAGATCTTGATCTGAAGTTGAAGTTTGAGAAGCAGTTAGTTGGGTCAAAATGAGCTAGCTAACTTGTCAGGCTAATTCAGCAAATAAACTTTATGTTAGACATGTTAGCTGTTGTCAGAAGACACTGGACAAATTGTTGGGCATACAATTTCCTTAGTTTGGTACACCCTGTGACCCAAACAATTGCTGTCAAAATGGTCGATTTTTGATGACTACTCTCACAAGCGGAACAGAAATTCTACAGCACAATCTTTGCCCAAAGAGGTATGGTAGTGCGCTAGTTGCTGTCTATCAGCTGTAGCATGCTAGTCAGCTTGGCCAGGTTAGTTAAGCTCATGTAGAGTTGCTGCCTGTGAAATGGCAAACACAAATGGGAAACCAGAGTCCTTATATATCGTGTAAGATGTTTTTTATGCCGGAACTGAAGCTAACTCTGCTGTTGATCTAATTGTAGGTGTGAGAATGAGGTAGAAATCTAAACACATGTACATTTCAAATTGGGGAAATAAAAAAAATTACAAAAAGAGCCAGAAATGAGTCACTTAAAGGCAGCTTAAAGAGTATATGTGGCCAATGAGGTAACATGCACACAAGACATAATCGATATTTTTCCAATCGACTGTGGCAGACAGACTAATCTGTGTGTGTTCATGTGTGTGCGTTTAATAGCCTGAACAATCACTGAAACAGCCGACATGGAGACATTTAAAAACAAAAAGGTGAAAATAATCCAGTTAACAGTAGATTAAATATTGGACATCATTGGACATTTCCAATCAATCATTTAAAATGATGAATCTGTCAAATAATGGAGCTACAGTATACAAACTCTACAATCCACAACATCAATAAGTCATCAACATTAACTACTAAAACACATGCCATGCTGAGTAATTCAAGAATTAATTAAAGCTATACAACTGCATTCACTCACACACAGAGAGCAGTATCAGCCTGAATTACATTTTCTAATAGATTTTGTGGTGGTTTCTGTTTTCAGGCTGTGAGCTCTGAAGACTTCTAGCCCACACTAAAGTAGAATACATTTAATTTTGTTTGATCCACATGGACAGTGCACTGCTGTCTTTGAAAATTAATTAGAGTGCTCCACAAAAAAACATCTTTGTAAAGCTTTAAAGAACACAATCAGTTGTATCTGTTGTAATTTCACACGGTTGTTTTGGCTACTTTTTCTCAATGGTATGTAAAAATGGTGTTTACTGTGAATTTGACATTATAGTATTTAAAAAAGGGGGCTCTACTTCTGTACAGAAAACAAAAGTGGTAAACTGAAAGGAGGATGGTTTATTCTCTCCTTCATAAACACACACATTACACTAAGTGTACAGTACCTGTCAGTGCAGCTCTTGTGTCCAGGTGTACAGCAGTGCTAGGTGAGTGTGCTGTATCGCCATCCTCATCAATCCTTCCACAATCAAGAAACCAAAGAGAAACCAGCTAACACAAGACTGAGCGCCTGCCAGTCAAATCCACCACAGAGACACAAAGACAACGGATTTAACAACTGTACAAATGGAGGGCAACACTACACTCTATCCATCTCTTTCATTCAATCTATTTTCTTCTTCCTCACTATCCCTTTCTCTCTCTGTCTTTGCGCTGGCTGTGTCTCAGTCTGTACACTCTCTCTCCCTCTCACACACTGATTCTCCATCTGTCACCGCCCCCTCTCTTTCACCCCTCCCACCTCATAAATTATTAATGAGCCACAGACACACATGCTCCACTGCTGTCAAACACACTCACACGCACACACATTGCAAGCAATCCACAATTGTCACACACACACACAAATTAAATACTGTGGACAACCATTACATAGCCCACCGTGTCTGTATAAGATCATAGAGGCATGTTTCATCTTGATTTCAGGAGGAATATGTAGTTATTTGTTGGACAGGATGTCAACTAAACAAAACCATGACTAATAGTCCCTGCAGTTACCATAATCAAAACAACTTACAACCACAAATTGTTGAAAATGGTTTACAGACCGAAATCAATTTCACTGTCAATTTCAGTTACATCTGGAGAGATTTTATAGTAAAGATAAAGGAGGTGTGTTCGACAAGATCTGGGCCCCTCTACTGACCTTTTTTGCTATGTAAATACACTTTTTTAAAGGAAAACTACTTTAACTTTTATTTATTTTAATTATGACAGTGGACATTGGTCAGAGAATAAACTATTTATTTTTTGACATTCTAAAGACTTTGAGCCTTTTTTGTACCTAAAAAGTGATTGAATGGTTTGAAAATTCCTTTTAAATACCTTAACAAGTGGAGCTTTCCTCCCTTGTGGACAGGTCTTAGATTTTTAGTATTAAAGACTCAGACACACCAAAGACACTGATCTCAGCGGGTCTGTCTGATGACACACTCTCCCCACACATACATGTAACCCATAAAAGAACCACACGTCAGCCATGCATAAACACATTCACACGCAAAACACATGCAGGTCACGGAGAAGACAGGGCCGATCATGCATGAATGCAGAGCATGCATGCACACACACTAAAATCTCACACACACAAACACACGAAGATGTCCATGCAAGCATTCCAGGCGAGGAAGCCCCCCCCCCCCCCCCCCCCAGCTGGAGGCTATCTGAGTTTTCTCATGGATGAGACATGGCTGGAAGGCAGGTCAGTCAGAAAAAAATGTGTGTGTGGATGCAAATCTCAGACAGAAAATACAGGACAGATCCAGTAAACACTACCCTTTAAATACTGCTCACACTATGTAAAGGAGCAGTCCAATAGTTGGCGAATACCCTTATTTGCTGTCTTGCCAAAGAAGATTTATATCTAGATATCAAACTGTTTGCCAATCCATTTAACAGTGAGTTGGGTTTTGTCTAGATTAAGGACAGAGTGCAAACCTGGTAACCCCACTATGAGGATAGGACCTTTAAGATCTTGTGTGCAGTCACTGCATGCAGCAGGTGATCAAGAAAATGCTCTAATAGCAATGCCATGAAGGCCTAGAGGCTTTGAATCTGGCAGTGGACCTTTGTTGTATGGGATTGAATACACAAAGATCTGCTGTGTATCTCTACATATACATACAGATGCACTGTGATATGTATGATGTATCTATATTTTTCCTTTTACTTCGAGGCTTCGTGCAAAGCAAGGCTATTGATATTAATATTGTCTAACTCTTGATAAAACAGCAAAGTCCCTTTAAAAAGTACAGCTATTTCAATTGTGGAACTTTCACAATAAAAATAATTAAAGATACAAGTAGTTATACAACATCATTCTGTACAGGTGACCAAGAAATGTATCATCTTAATGTGGCTTGAATATAGTTTTCGATTTAGGTAGGTAGGTAGATTTATTTTGTCACAATATAACAGGTTATAGAGTGAAACTGAGTTTAGAACCCCTTTCTGCAGACAATATACATTGAAAATGGTAAACAGAAATAAACTGCATTCAATGGAGCAGTGCTGAGGATGAATTTGAATTTAATTTAATTTAATTTAATTCTGGTGGTGCTGCAGCAGAAATTCTATATCTCTCCCCAGAAGGCAGCAGGGGAACAGGCTGTGGCTGGGTGGGTACTGTCCTTTAGTATCCTTTGGGCTCTGCAGGCACCTCACTGATATCACTGATGCTCAGGAGATGGGTACCAAT